TTATATTTTACTATTTTTATCCACCAGTTCTAACAATGCTCACGAATACCACTCACTCCATCATATTTACTCGTCAACATTTTGAGAATCAAGGTACTAGCATGTGCTTTAGAAGTGCCCTTAAACCGTTCTTCCACAAATATATATTCTAGGTAGGTTTTCGCATTTTCTGAGTCTGGAATGGCTCCGCGAATAGCTACAGATATGGAATTCTTGATCACCATGAGGCACATTCGATTGGACCTCTCCCACTGTTCATAAGAACGCTTCTGCTCCACAGTGCTCTCAGCGTTAGGAGCATCCGGTGGATCCATTCTCAGTGCATGGTCGAGGTCCATCATGCCAAGTGAGAGTTTTACAGATTCTCTCCATGTTAAGAAGTTTGTACCATTTAGAGGTTCTATCCCATAATTGTACGGGATAATAGTAGATGCTGAAATAAAAGTTTTAGCAGAAGTAATCATAGAAGCTATTTATAATATATACAAGGGAATACAATAAGGCATGTCAATTATTAGTAAATAAGCCTATTATTAACACCAAATAGTAAGAAAAATTCATGTCGTGTTTAATAACTAACATTGCGTTGACTAATGCTAATTATCAAACATTATGATATTAAAATTAAAATTAGACTGCAAATTGTGTCACATATCACCTTTGGGCAGAAATATAACACATTTGATTACGGTAAAATTTCATTATACAAGTTATCAAATAACACACCTTTGGGTTTGTTAAAAGAAAACTCATATAATTGTTTAAGATAGTCAAAACAAATAATTTTCCGTTGGGCCGATTATTGAGTTTGACACTAAGATAATCAACCAATCCATATTATAACTTTCAATATGTCATAAAATTGAAGTTGATGCAGTATTAATCCTAAACCATGGATAATAATTTAAGCATCTTGCAAATAATTAAATCTGTCAGTTTCTAATGGGTATTAACTAGAATATTTAGATAACTAATTTTCCTTGTACAAAATCAAATGTATAGGCACTATCTAAATGTTATCTCCATTTCAATTTCTGGAAAATTAATTATAAGGAAGAAAAACACCAACAAATAAGGGCATCCTCATTGGGAGGATTATTATGAGATTAATTTGGTGACATGGAAGTTTTTTTAGGGAATTATCATTGAGTGACATAGATTATTTAATGAGATTATTTGCTACAATAATCTGGGATCAAAATATGAATCCGGATTATTTTAAGATTATTTGAAAAGTATATGTAATAGAGATTAATGCAGGACAGAGAAAAAATAGATTATTTAAAGATGATGATTGAGAGACATAAACGAATTTTGAGATTATTTTATAATTAATTATATAACAATATTTAAATGGTAAGAATCATAGAAAAAATTGATTATTAGAGATCATGAATGGAGATGCTCTAATTAACGTTGATGTTCCTAAAAGTAACTTATTCATGACAAAAGTTAGCATTTAGTTTTCAGATAATCCGCAATCGCAAACAATCGAAAATTGGTTTTGTCAAATCAGTTTTAGAGCAATGAAAAGTATCGATCAAATACCAAAAACATAATTTTGGGTAGTGCATGTACTTAATCCACTCATACAGCAGATACAAAACTATGATATTCAGAGACATCACTTTAGATGGTGGTTCACATCACAACTTCAGTTTTAAAAGAATGATTAAGCACCGTATTGAATTAAGTGCTACATGTCAGCATATACACATATGAAAATCAACCTAGTGGCAGACCCATTGACTTAGATGCAGGGACAAAATACGTTACTTAATTCTATCTTGAACCACCGAAAAGCATGAACAAAAATTGATTCAAATCAAAAGCAAGTTTTAAAAGGAAGAATATGATGATTGAAATATATATCAATCATGCTACTGGCCGATTAAGTGGTATCGGCACCGAATATATAAAACACCTGAATTACATAATCGTTATTAGAGGAAAGAACAGAAAATTATACGCTTGAACATTCAGTTCAGAATCAGCTGAACTAACATTCGGCAAAAACTAATAATCAATTAGTCGATTGAAAATTTCGATTTTTATCAAGGTAGGTGAGAATTAAGGATGTTTTTACTTGGACTGTAATTTGCTGGTCTGGTCTGATCTAGTCTGGTCTGAACTGGTCTGGTCTGGTCTGGTCTGGTTTCTTTGTATTTTTATAACTATCCAAGTCTGGTCTGGTCTGGTCTGAACTGGTCTGGTCTGATCTGGTCTGGTCTGGGACGAATTACAGTCCAAGTAAAAACATCCTGACATGCTCTGACACCAATTGTTGAGAAAATCAGTCCCAAATAGGATCTAATATCACTAAACATGATAAAATTCATATAATCAAACAATACGAACACTAACTAGTTGAGGAGAAACCGAACGTTGATGGTGTCGTAGAAGATGACGAAGCCATGACGTTTAGATTCTCTAAGGATACAAGAGTATTTGATGGATTAAACGATCTCCCTTGGGTCTCCTAATATAGGTGTTCTTGAGACCTTTGGGAAGAGACGTGTCTAGCCGTTTTAGTCGTAAGAATGGAAACGTACGGGCGTTTTTATCTTGTATCAAAGAGAAACTCATTTGGTCCCTTATGTACTATCCTCCATTCCATAAAAGTTGTAACAATTTGACTTTCACGTTTGCCAACGCGTAACTTTTACTGTAATTATATTTATTTACGTATTAGTAAACATTAAAAAAGTTAATATATTGGAAATTTACATTAATACAAATTTATTAATATTTTATACATAATATTTTTATTATATATATTATTAGAAAATTGTAGTTAAAGTAAGGTGTGTGAATAGTGCAGAAATTCCAATGTTGCAACTTTTATGGAACGAAGGAAGTATTATTTAATGTTAAAACATACTCATCATATGTTAACTATACATAAATACAGGGACCAAATTTGTTATATGACAAACTTAATGGTAAGACATAAATGTTCCCAAAATATATTAAATTATATAAATGGTCCAAGAGCATTTAAATGGAATATTTTCCAACATTTTTGACATCCTAAGTATATTCGAATTGAACTTCTGAAAATAGAAAACGTACCTTGTGGTCAAAACACTTTCCGCAATATACTCCTTTACTAAAGTCGTTTGTGAGAGGTAGGTGAGAACAAAGTCTTGAAGCGAACTTCAAAAGTAAAATACTCCCACTTCTTTTTAATACTCCGTACAATAGATGCAATAGGAAAAATACTCATTTACAACACAAATTATTACTTACAATACAAATATACAATTATACAAAACTACAAAAGTCTTCATGCTTGCAAAATGTGATAATGTTTTAAAAGAAAAGTAAATAAAATACATAAACAACTAGAGTGCTTCTTAAAAATACTTTTTAAAGTAATTTAAATACTGAACAGTTTTAAACACTTCTCCTTGCTTACAACTTTTAATTTTATACTGATTATACACTAGTTTTAGATTTTGTGTATAATGCCCCAGAAAGTTACTTCTAACAAATAGAAATAAGTCTTTTTTGTTCATTTTTAGTTGCAATATTTTCATTTCACTTTTGGCAACATTCAAATTTAATTGTCATTATATTCAATTCTCTATTCATAGAATTTAAAATCAGATTAAGAAAATTTGAAATGAGACGAATTTAACAATATTTCAAAAAGAAAATTCTCATACACTAATAAATAAAATTATCCATATCATAACTAAAAAGAAACGAATGTCCATTCTAATATCCATGTCGGAGGATAGTACTTTTGTTAGGTTAAAATTATGTAGACAAAAAATATACATTCTAATATACTTCTTTTTTTTTCTAATTCATATTGGTAGTTTATTAAAGGGGCCTATATTATACGACATCACTTATATATTAAAAAGAAATTATCCAACTTTATACCTTAACCAGCTTTAAAATAACATGTTTCTAGGATCTCAAATAATTTGATTTTTTATATCAATTACTTTCTGTTCACTGTTACATAATTAGTTTTGAATAATTTTGATCCTAATTAGTAATTAAGTATTCTGATAAATAATGTCACCTAATAATCACTTTTCCACAATAATGCAATTAGAAAAAAAGTTGCCACATCCCCGCTTCACCCCACTTCATCCCCTAATAGCCTCATGGATAAGCATACTGTCAAACTATGTAAAGTTAAAAGCAAATTCTATAATACGTTTACGGTTCCGTGTGGTGTCTTATCCACATTGACCAATTAGATTATTGCAATTGGCCAATTAGATTATTGCAACTTAGTAGGGTATTTTTTAAAGGAATTGCAACTTAGTAGTTAAGCATAAGTAATTGATTATTTTCAGGTTTATAAAAAAGAAAATAAATATGTAATGATATGATGAATCATATGCATTTTAGGTACGATATTCTTATTTATTGATAGAGTTCCTTACAATTCACCAAAATTATTTGGGACAAATCTGATAAAACGATCACTAGTTATTTATGAATTTAAAGCCCCTTCAATGTGAATATGTGAACATGGCATACAATATGAGGGAGGAAGAGACAAAGAACATCTCTCTCCCCCAATATGAGGGAGGGAGAGATAAAGAACATCTCTCCCTCTATTTAAATGATTTTTGTTGAAGTTTCAAACTAGTAAAGATGAAGTAAAAAAGTTCTATATCAACATCCTAGGTTACTCCACATATCAGGCTGACATTTTAGGATTGAACATCTGATCTTAACATGATATTAGAGTCAAATTGATCCATAACCATTTTATGCCCCCCCCTTATAAAAATGAAGACGTGATTATAAAAAATAACAATGACGAACTGGCGAAAAATGAAGATGGTATGATTCAGACGAAGTGTCTAACCGTGAAGAAGAGTATTGAAGTCTCATGCAGATAAAATATGAAGTAATAAGTTTAAGTGCTATATGGTGTTTGTTTAACCCAATATTAAAGAATCAAACAACCATAGCAGTGATAAAGAAGCAGATAGAAAGATATCGAGAAGATGAAATCGAATCTGGTATACCGTATAAAACCCCGTTGCTCTCCCTGGAGAAGGAGAGCAGTGGAAACCCTTCTCTCTATCTCGCATCTACGCTCTCTAAACCTCTGTCTTTTTCGATCATTAGGGTTCCCGTAAGTTAGCCTCCTTTTATAGGAGAAGTTGGCTAACTTACGGGTTACAAGGAAGCCCCCGGGCTGATACACATTTGTGGCCCGTATTACACGTTTAATTGATAACTACACAAATAAAAAGATAACTAACTAGATTGAACACCATAAAATATTCCCAACAATCTCCCCCTTGGTGATCAATCAAGTCAATCATCATTTTCCGCTGTGCAACCGACTGGCTCTCCTCAAAAGCATTCATTTCAAAAAGACTACATTGTGGAGGAGACGAAGGTCAGATACTCGCATACTCAGTTTCTAAGTATTGTCTAGTAACAACTCTATATACTTTCTGTTGAATTAACACACATTTTATTTTCCGTTTCCAAATATCAAAATCAGTCTTACCATAGAGAGAGAGAGAGAGAGAGTAGTTTCTGGTGCGTCGCACCAGAGAGGCCGTCCGGACGACGGCGTTTGGCCGTTTTCCCATTGGAATTTATTGATTAAAATTTTATGACATGTTCTTCATGAAGTCTAGCTTATTCATCAAAAAATTCAGCTAAAAACTCAATCTTGAAGGTCTTCAAATGATTTTGTGAATTTAACTGTGCAAAATTACACACAAAAAACGCAGTCAACTTCAAAAAATGATTTGACGACCTTCCAGGTTTAGTTTTTAGCTGATTTTTTTATGGATAAACTAGACTTGATGAAGAACATGCCATAAAAAATTCAACAAACAATTCGGACGGGAAGGCGGCCAAACGCCGTCGGCCGGACGCCCCCTCTGGTGCGGCCGGCCGCACATGAATATTACTCTCTCTCTCTCTCTCTCTCTCTCTCTATATATATATATATATATATATATATATATATATATATAGGGGTGAGATCACATACAAACCATGCTTAACTTACTAACCTACAAACTCAATAATATGCAGCACTTTGAACTTCAATATGCAGTACAAATAATGTAAAGTGATGCATATATATATATATATATATATATATATATATATATGGGAGGTTCAAATACAAAGTAGTTCTTATATGAAAAAGGAGAAGTAATCTTAGCCGTTAAAATGAGAAAATGAGTGGATCAGATCAAATTTAAGGTGTAAAATTCGGTGCCAAAACTGTAAATATTAGAAAGTTTTTTGAAAAATAACGTGATAAATGTGTATGACTGTGGACGAAAAGTGCAACGGACTAACACAAAAGTGCATCACGTTTTGAGAATAAAACAAGTATAGAAATCGTTTCGTGATATTTTTTAATGAGTTGAATATGCAGCCTTACATATCACGTATGCACTTTTACTATTATTTATTACACATTTAGGTTTACCGTGAGTTGTGATCTATGCCATCCATTTTTAAGTGATCAATGGCTTAGTTCACTTCTCACTTTTCATGGGAAGACCTCTTTGTATTAGGACTCACCCATATATATATATATATATATATATATATATATATATATATATAGGAAAATTCTCAGGTCCAGCACTTCCCGGTCCGAACGCCGTCCGAACACCGCCGTTTGGGGCGGTTCATGGTGGAATTGTTTGATTAAATTTTTTTAACATGTTCCTCATCAAGTCTAGATTATCCATACCAAATTTCAGCTCAAAACTAGATCCGGAAGGCAGTCAAATAATTCGTTGAAGTTAACTGCGTGTTTCTATATATAATTTGGCGCAGTTAACTTTAACGAATTATTTTATTGCCTTCCTGATCGAATTTTGAGCTGAAATTTGGTATGGATAAACTAGACTTGATGAGGAACATTCTCCAAAAAGTTCATCAAAACATTCCGCCGGGAACCGCCCGAAACGGCGGTGTTCAGACGGCGTTCGGACAGAAAAGTGTTGGACATGAGAATGACTCATATATATAGGGTGTGGTTCCGGTGAGAACACTTCTAAACGTGAGAAATGAGAACGCTCCAAAACGATGCACTTTATCATTCACGAAAATGCACATTTATAATTAAAGTAATGCAAAATTCTAATTTGCACGTTTACGTGTAAACTTTTGCACACTTGAAATGCACATTTTCCAATTTTTTTATATGCACATTTCTGTTTTACTTGATGCACAATGCCAAAATCCAAAGCTCCAGAAACATTCTCATTTCTCACGTTAAGAACTATTCTCATTTGATCCTTACTCTCTCTCTCTCTCTCTCTCTATATATATATATATATATATATATATATATATATATATATATATATATAGGGAGCGATATGTATATATAGACTCCCATGAGAGAAATGAGAATGAATCTGGATCGTTGGAGTGTATCATGTGGAATTGAATTGTGCATTTGGTGAAATTGAAATGTGCATTAGATTATATTGAAATGTGCAGAATTCCACATTTATTGCCATATTTTGTAAACCAACCCACTTTCTGAATATGAGATTATTGTGTTGATTATGTTTGATGATGTACTTTTTAAATATAAAATGATTATGATTGTACCTTTTAATTCCAAATAAAATAGTTGGTAGGTGCTTTCATAGGGCCTCTCTCTTTATATTCTTCATTATTGAGGAGTTGTTCATTTGTCGGTAATATGTAACAAGTTGTGAAAAGAATAAACAATCTGTGTACATATTTCTTTAGGTGTAAAAACTATAAGCAACTGAGCATTCAATACTATTGCATACAAAGTAGGAAAAAACTTAGTTCCCAAACCTTATTAGGATTTAGCATTGATTGACAAGTATTCTTCCACCCCAACGACTTGGATTTCAATACACAAAGCTTCTCCAATAATAGACTAGTTCAATCACTTCAATTCCCACAAGCGGTGTTGGAGTTACCTTAAATCAAGCGGTTAAATTGAATCTCTCTAAACAGAATGAGAGAAGGAAGATGCCACGGACCACGGTGAACATTTCCGTTAAAACGGAAAGTTAAAATAAGGTGAGATGTACAACAAATTAAACATAATGTATAATGACCTAATGCATTAAGAGACATCAACATTTTTTTATCACTATTATACCCCTAACAATATTTCCTCTTATAGTATTGTATATAGAGATAATTGAAATTTAGTTAATGCAATTTTACATTTTAAAGTTTAAATACAAGATTAATATTAAAATTATTTCACTAAATAACATGACTTCATACTAACTTTATCGATTGTCAAATACTCCTCCGTCTCAAAATATCTGCTGACATTGAATTGGCACACTTATTTTTTTTTGAATAAAAATGTATGACTATTCCAAGAGAAACGGAATGATGAATATTAACTACACAGATCATTCCAAGAGAAAGCCAAAAAGAGTAGAAGTGAGGAGAAATTTTTTACTCCCAAAAATAAACTAGTAAGGAAATTACGAGTCCGAGGGAGTAATACTTCTACATGGCTAGTTTGAACCAAATTTAAATGTTTGTGGGACGACATTGAAATTAACCAATTCTGATCTTTCTACTATTTTAAAAAGAACTTTTTTTCACAAATAATAAACTTTAAATTATTCTAGCATTAACACAAATATAATATGTACAGTCTATATAAATAAGCAACATAATATTATTTTAAAAACTAATGTATATTAAGAAAACTCTTCGTCATTTACGAACATTCTTGGTAGACAAAAAGTGTAATTAAAAAATTAATACTTTAAAATAAGATTCATGTGGTTAGATAAGGCATAAGTTATTGTAAATGTATTGGGAAGTGTACCTCTTAGACTCTTTATCTTCGAACAATGTGATAAAATACTAACCTTTTTTATTACTCCCTCCATCCCTTACAACTTTGTCATCTTTGAACTTTTTGATCAAATATATATTTTTATAGGAAATTATTTATGATATAAAAATTATATGACAATGTTCATTTTTAAAAGTAATTTCATAAAAACATAAAACATATCACTTTCATGATACTATACTAATCAAAATCATGGTCCAAATTTTATCACCATTGACTTGAAAAGTCATAGATGGTAAAGTTTCTAGGGATGGATGTAGTATAATTCTTTTTTCCTTTGATTTGCCATTTATTAGGTTTTAATTCTTAAATATTTTTTAAGATTTACCCAAATAAGAGTAAAAAAATCAGAATTCAAAAATAGGACTGTCATGCTTTTATTCTCTAAATAGGAGTGATTACGGTCACGTTTTGGCATTACCAAGCTTTACGCATGGCAGTATTTTCGAAGTTTGACAGTAATTACTCATATTTAGAGAATAAAAACATGGCAGTCCTATTTCAAAATTACAACATTTTTATTCCTATTTCTTGAAATTTCCTTTACTTTTTCTAGAGAATTTCTGTTAGGTTGGGCCAATTTAATGTTAGGGGCTCATTTCTCTATTATGCACACCTATTGTAAACGTGCTCACCCTACAGACGTATAAAGTCTGGAGGTTGAGACACATAACCTTTGGCATCCTAACAATAGACTAGACATTCGTGCGCATTTGTAGAGTGAGAGAGAGCAGCGGCCATTCATATCTTATACTAAAATTCTATATCATTGTGATGTTGAATCGAAGCTGTATTTCTTCTCAACTCAATTATATTCTGAGTTTGATTGTTGGAATATGTTTTACAATTGGTATCAGAGTTGAGGCGTGCATCAGGTCTAATTTTCTGCATTTTTTTGGATTTGCCATTGACGAGAAGACCAAGATGTTCGAAAAAACTCATTTGCTGATATTTTTTGTGTGGTTGACCTGCAACCGAAGTTAATCTATTATTTCTGGAAGATTTTGGTCGAAATCCGATTCAAAACTGTTTGAAATATGGTTCTAGAGAAGTCGGTGATCCCTGTTTACAGGTTCTATGAACAAGAGGACCTTCTCAAAGTCTAGGAGTTCGAGCTCACGTTCTCGAGCCTCAAGTTTCGAACTCAAGATGTCAAGACTCAAGTTTCGAACTTAAGATCTCGAGCCTCAAGTTTCGAACTCAGGATCTCGAGCCTCAAAACGTCGAACTGAGGATTTCGAACTCAGGATCTCGAGCCTCAAAAGTTCGAGGTCATGGTTCACGAAGTCAAGAGTTCGAGCTCAAGGTTTTTGAGGTCAGAAGTTTGAGCTCAAGGTTCTTGAGGTGAGGAGTTCTAGCTCAAGGTTCTCGAGGTCTGGAGTTCGAGCTCATGGTTCTCGAGGTCAGGAGTTGGAACTCAAGCTTCTTGAGGTCATCTGCTCGAGAAAGCTTCTCGAGGTCTAAATTCTCAGTGCTTCATTTCAAAATCAACTTCTCGAGCTCCAGTTTTTCAAACTAAAGATTTGAAAACGTCTTCACTTGTTGGGTTAATGACCCCGATGGCAGGTCGGTCCATTACCCACTAAGCATTAGGGCCGTCTGGGGCCAAAGAACTTTCACACGTCGTGCGGATCCACGCCCATATTACAAAACCCAAACTTGGTTGCATGAAGGACGCTCATCTAGATCCCATGGAACACGAGCGAAGGCACATCCTAAGCCCATCGACGATCTCCAATTGGGCACATCAGGATGCTCGTCCGTGATTATGGCGGGAAACCAAAATATTGACGGGAGACGCATTTAATACAGTAGATTTGGTGGTTGGGAGCTAGCCATCCACAATCCTCCACGTCAGCAGCACTACCTACCCCTTGGTACTATAAATAGTATCATTTATTTCACTGCAAGGGGTTGGCAACTTAGCACTCTTAGCAAATAGCAATTGTATCAACTCATATCATAGCACTAGACGAACGACCTCAGTGCTTTGTAAAGAAGCGTGTTGTATACGGACCCTTATTATTATTTAATAAGATACGGCCCACTTGCTACTGAAATAGTGTGTTGTATTTACGCATTACTCCCTCCGTCCCATAAAATAAGTCTCATTTTCCTTTTTGGGCCGTCCCAAAATATTGTTCCCATTTCCCTTTTTGAAAAGTTTTGTGTGGCTAACATTCATTTACCTTTTTTATACTCAACCACAACCATACATTTCCACTTTATTCCCACTTTCTTAAACTCCGATCCAAATTGAAATGAGACTTATTTTATGGGACGGAGGGAGTATTATTTTAGAGAAAATTCCCAGTTTAGGAGTAAAACTTATCAAATATGCAAAAGTAGGACTCCTATCTAACAGTGTAGTTTGCCAAACGGAAATTATAAGGGATAGAAATGCTCTTAATGAATAGTCAAACTTATTTAGTAAAAATACAAAATAGAATAATAAACTAGTTAATGCATTACACAACAAGTCAACAACGTATTTTTCCTTCCCCAACCACAAGTTGCTTCCGGTACCATCCAGGGTCAGCACCTGCACCAGTAATCGCCGCCCCTAACCACCGCCCTACGCCGCCACTTGACGCCGCCGCCAGATGCCGGACGTTGCCTCCGCCGGACGCCACCAATCTCTGCCGTCGCTGGACACCGCCAGTCTTCACATTCGTCAGACGCCGCCGGTCTCCTCTGTCGCTTGACGTCGCCACCACCACCATCTTCGCCGCTGCCTTGTTCCAGGGCCACCACCGGCCATCTATAATTCGGACGCTGCCATCTCCATCCCCTAGCCTTAAATCTGAAAATTAAGAATGTTGTAGAATGACAATCTGATATTTATTTGATTATTTTTCATTTTTTAATTTAAAATTTTAAATTTAATGAATTTGGATCTGAAAAATACTCCCTCCGTTCCTAAATAAACTTCCAACTTTCCTTTTTCATCCGTTCCAATTAAAACTTCCACTTTCCCTTTTTGGTAAAGAATTTGTGGTTCACAACATTTCTTACACATTTCTCTCTTCTCTGCACAACTCTCCACCATACAATATCCACTATCTTAAATTTTGTGCCAAACTCATTTGGAAGTTAAAATGGGAACGGAGGTAGTATATAATAATGATTATTTTTCTCTATGAAAACATAAAGTTCTATAAAGCTGCACCGCCGATTGAATTGAATTCAAAGAAGAGAAAAAAAGGGGAATTGAGAAGAAAAGAAAGAGGAGAGGAAGAAGAAGAATGAAGAGCAAGAGATTAAAACTTACATGTGAGGATCGCCGTCATCCACCGGTGGCCGGAGTTGGAGAAAAAAAATTGTTGTTTGTAATTTGCCGCATCAGAGATGGAGAAGTGAGAGAAATTAGATCTGAAAATGAATGAGGAGGAGGAACAGGGAGATGAAAAGTGAGAGAGGTTGGGGGTTGCGTACCAACGTGAGAAAAGCCTGACAAAGAAAAAGTAAGCTGACAAAATAAAAAGGGACTAAAATTGGCAAAAGATACGGACCAAATAACCGATAGCTCCTATTTAGGGAATCAATCGATCAGAACTCCTATTTTGGAATTGTATCTATGTTTTACTCCCTTTTAGGGTAATTACTTATTGTTTTACTAACAAAGATGCTCAGTGAAGTCAAAGGGCGTGTTTGGCATTCAGCGGTTATCAGTTTATGTAACTATGTTAGCGGGTTGTCAATAGCGGATTCGGTCAACGGGTTTGGTAAGCGGAATAAATTGGTAGGTTGTCAAAAGATGTTTGGTAATTTAGCTGTTTGACCATAAAATTAGTAGAAAATGTCATTTTTCAAAACGTCAACCCAAAACCCTCCTATTAGCAGCGTTTTCATTTCAGCGTTTCCGTCCATAAACGCTGGTGCCGAACAACTATTTACCAAACAATTTTTTCACTCATTGAAAACACTAAAGTAGTCAAACCATCAATTTTTTCAATCATTTTTTCACTCATTTACACTAAAGTAGTAAATGGCTGAAATGCCATTTACCGAACACTACCAAAGTGGAGGGGAAGCAAATATGTGGCTACAAGAAAGAACTCAGGCGGCTGCGGAAAGTGGAGACCAACTTCTTCCCTTGTAACAAGGTTAATTCAAATATTTTAGTTATTTTTATATATTTTTATTTTAATTAAATGGCTGCAAATAGTAATTTGGAGGTTGTAAATAGAATTATCTTAAAGTCTGGAGATTGAGACCCATAACCCTAGGCATCCTAACAACAGACTAGACATTCACACACATTTGTAGAGTGAGAGAGAGCAGCAGCCGTTCATACCTTGTATTGAAATTCTATATCATTGTGGTGTTGAACTAAAGCCCGTATTTCTTCTCTACTCAATTCTATTCTTAGTTTGATTGTTGAAATCTTTTTTACAACTTCAATTATAAAAGAAATTATTTTTCTCATTGTGTAAACATAGATTATAGCAGATTTAAATGTCATGTATGTACTCATGGAATTTTTCAAATAAAAATTAAGAAAGCCTACATTGCGGAAAAAAATTCATCGCTTATAGTTACAATTATTAATATAGAAATAAATATAATTAAAAATGTAATTACAACTATAATTATAGCTATAATTATAATTAGTGTAATAGGTATAATAGTAATTATACATATTATAATTTTAAGTTTAATTATAATTATGATTATAACTATAATTATATTCATTATTACAATTATAATTATAATAATTGTAAGTATAATTATAATTTTAGAAATATTCAAATCAAATCAAAGCAGAAAGATTCAAACCAGATCAGAAGGATTCAGATGAGATCATAAGGATTCACATCAGATTAGACCAAATCAAAAAGATTCAGATCCGAAAAGATCAAATCAGAAAAACTCAGATCAGATCGAATCAGAACTTAAAAAATATAGATCAGAAACATTGAATCAGGTGTAGAGAACAACTTCTAAATCTTGGATCAATCAAGAAAAATGTATAATATTGTTTTTGTCATTATTTGTTAAAAGTACCTATCGGAAAAGACTCCAAATAATAAATGCCTAATTTCGAGGTGACAAATTTAATGCCTTGACTGAGTATGTATATATAATACTAGTACTCGTATTAGTTAATATACTCCGTATTAATTAATGTATAACAATAATGGAGGACTCAGTCACTAAAAGGAGAATATTACAAAAAAAAAAGTCACTAAAAGGAGTAAAAGAGATGTTCCCAAAAGACTACGGACTCTTCATGATCTATATACGAAGTATTCAACAAGATGTATGCGTGTTTATTCCTTTCACATAGTTAAATGTGACTACACCCTATACTATTCACATTGCTCCTTCTCCGAACTCGCGCGTCCATCATTAAAGATCAACAATTTAGAGTCCATTTGGAAACACTACAATTAGCTAAATTGGTCGATTCTGCTGAAATTTATAAAGTTCTGTCTGAAGTGACTATATTGGGTGATTCTGCTGATTCTTGAAAATTTTATATTTAAAATATTTGTTAATAATAAATAAAGTAAAAAATTATATGAAAAAATTGTTAAAATGATATTATACAGTAACTTCAGTCAATACAGCCAGAAAAGTAACTCCAACCTTACTTTTTTTGCTTATTACACAATTCAGCGCGCGAAATCGAAAGTTACGTGTTTGGTGAAAAAGCTGACTGATAAGCCTGATATGCCGAAAAAAGGGGTCACCAAACGGGCTCTTAGTATTTTTTTAAAAAATAATCGAATTCCCGAACTTTGAAAAAACAATCACTTGAGTCCATTTGCAGGAAATTTGTCATGTCAGCAGGTCACCCATTGACGTGACGCACACGTGGCAGCCCAATCATCAATAATTTTGCTGATGTGGCACTAATGTGGCAGTTCGTATACCGTGGGAGCGGCCCATATTGAGCATCCTACTCCCACGGCCAAAACGACGTAGCATTTCATTAAAGCATTTAATTAAAAAAAAGCGCACACAAACCAACGGATCCTTTCTCCCACCTTTTCCCTCCAGCGGTTATGCTCTCAACTCCCAGTTCGTATAGCGTGGGAGCGGCCCATATTGAGCATCCTACTCCCACGGCCAAAACAACGTAGCATTTCATTAAAGCATTTAATTAAAAAACGCGCACACAAACAAACGGATCATTTTTTCCACCTTTTCCCTCCAGCGGTTATGCTCTCAACTCCCGATATTCTACATTTACGCCTCTTCGAAAAACAAAAGTTTACTTTCTGAAAAATCTCTCGCTCTACATTTCTTCTGAATCAAGCAAGTTCGACGAAGTTTTTTTTGAAACAAATCTCTGCAAAGAAGACAAGAGATTAAGTAAAGGATTTCACCGGAGCAACTTGCGCATCAAGTTTAGCAGCAAGTACAACCAAAATGGTTAAGGTTAAGGAAAAATCGGCTGTAAGGTATAAACTATAACATTGACTCAAAGATTACTCGATGTGATTGCTTTTTTTTTATGAAAGCATGTGTATTATGCCCTGAAATGTGTATTATGACCTTAAATACAAGCAAAGTAATTTTTGTTTCATAATCTGTTAGTACCCAATTTTGATAAGATTTTGATGATGCCACTATACATAACACGTGTACATTGTGTCTCAATTTAATTTGCAATAAGTGACAAAATTAATGTACAATTTTTATGACTGATAAAATACTACCGGAAAAATAAAAATGCAATAAGGTAATATTTATTTACCTTAATAGGATATTTACATCCTACCGGTATATTTTATTAGCCCACAAAAATTAATTGTCACAAAACAAGGCCAAGTTCGAAAATAAATGTATATGATTAGAGACAAGTACTTGACCGGTATTTAATACTGAATCAAGTACTGGGGACTACAACATGGGACTCAAACCTGGAAGAAGATGCCGCGGCCGAATTATTTACAGACAAAAACACCAGCTGCAATTAAAGCTCCAGCACAAGAAGACAAGAGTACTACTTGTACTCTTCAAATGTTCAACGACAGAGATCAATCTATCCTAACTAACGGATAAGATTGATTAGCCAGAAAGCCTATAAATAGAGGCTGAAACGCAAGTTTCTAACCAAGCATTTGAGCATCCAAAGAGAGAATTTCTATCAAGAGCATTTACGAGAGATCTAGCAAAAGAGAAAGTGCTATTCTAAACTTTACTCTCTGCTTGGACTCATGCTTCACTAAACTTCCAGTTTACAAAGCTTTTTCATTGCCAAATTATAGAAGTTTAGTTCCTAGTTGGAGGTTAGAACTTTATTGAAACAAATCACATATTGTTGTAAACACTTAGGAGAACAGTTGTTCGGATCCTACAGTGTAAGTAGATAGATAGAGTACCTTTTGATCCCCACTGGGTCATTAGAGAAAAGTCTAAGGACTGAGTAACTTTGAGTGGTGCTATACTCACTGTGAAAAACCTTCAATCTAGGCCTAAGTGTTGTAAAGGCTAGATTGGCACTAAGTGTATTGAGCTTAATACTTTAGTGAAATCCATCTGAAAGAGGGTGGGACTGGACGTAGGAGGATTACACCACCTCTGAACCAGGATATACTGTGTGTTGATTTACATTCAGTAGACAAAGCACACACTTAGCACTTCTCACAAAAAGATTGAAGTTTGCCAGCAGAATCTTAAGCAGTTGTCTTAACTGACCCAACTGCTTATCCTACTGCTTAATCACTTGCTTTCTTTGAGACCATTTTCACACCTGAGACGCACCTCACCATCACTAAAAGGTCTGCTCTACCATTTCCCAGTAATTCACCTTCTAAGTATAGCAGGTGTCTCAGCAGTTCCCTGAGACCACCCAACTGCTGAGCCCTCTGCTCACATAAAAGTCACTTCCTGTGACCATCTCAGTTTCACCAGCCTGCCATAAATATCATTGTCAAAAAGTACGTTCAAAAATCAATCCCTGAAAGTCAGATCAAAATCTGAGCAGTTGCCTCAGCAGTTCCCTGCTACCTAGCCAACTGCTAAGCCAACTGTCAAGCCAACTGCTAGCTATCTAAGTCCAATCTTCCCCAGATCAGAAAGTGATTAAAACATCCATTATATAAAGGGTAAAGACTTCCGCTGTGCATCTATTAATCTCCCAAAAGATTATAGATCAACTCCTCTAGAGGGAAATATTTGTAAGGGTCGAAAAGATTTAAAAGTCTATTTACCCCCCTCTAGACTTTTACCCTATCCGGGACCATCATAATCTGCATCTGACTGTATTTAAAAGTCAAAATCCCTGATGTTTACATAAGTTAACAAGTATATACAATCTATAAGATATTATTTGATTGAATCTATTGTCCAGAGAACATTCTTCGAAGTACTTGTGCATGGTGTAACTTCATTGAGTTATTACC